AAAAAAGATTGGCAACAGTTGTTAGCTCAGGTGCCAATCTTTAAAAAAAAATAAAAAATAAAACTATGTCTCCTTGTGCATGGTATGATCTTATAGGTAGAAAATCTTGTACACCACAGTAATTACAGTTGATAAACCACTTCAGCAAGGTTCCGGGGTACAAGATCGAAAGGCAAAAGTCAATTGTGTTTTTATACCCTTCTAAATCGCATAAACCAATGGAAAAGGATACTCTGGAAATAAACCCATATATTTAAAGTCAACTGATATTTTACAAAGGTGTCAAACTAATTCATTAAAGCAAGCATAGGGGCCGGCCCCGTGCCCGAGTGGTTAAGTTCGCACACGCCACTTCAGTGGCCCAGGGTTTCGCTGGTTCGGATCCTGAGCGTGGACACGGCACTGCTCATCAGGCCACATTGAGGTGGCGTCCCACATGCCACAACTAGAAGGACCAACAACTGAAATGTACAACTGTGTACTGGGGGGATTTGGGGAGAAAAAGCAGGAAAAAAAAAGAACATTGGTAACAGTTGTTAGCTCAGGTGCCAATCTTTAAGGAAAAAAAAACGAAAGTATAGTCTTTTCAACAAATGGTGCTGGATCAAGCAGACATCCGTTTATGAAAACAAAACAAAGCAAAAAACTCTCACTCCCTTCCTCACACTATTCACAAAAATTAACTCAAGATTTATAATAGACCTAAATGTACGATAAAAACAATGAAACTTCCAGATAAAACAAAGAGAAGAATTTCTTTGTGACCTCGGTTAGGGAAAGATTTTTAACAGATAACACCAAAAGCAAGATGGAACAAAATTGATAAGTTGAGATTCATCCAAATTAAAAACTACTTTCCTAAAGACACCGTTAGGAATATAAAAAAGACAAGCCACAGGGCCCAAGAAAATATTCTCAAATCATATGTCTCACAAGACACTTGTGTCCAGAATGCATGAAGAACTTTGACAAAATCATAATCACAAAGACCCCAGTAAAAAGTATGACCTTATTTGGAAATAGGGTCTTTACAGATGTGATCAGGTTAAGATGGGGTCACAATAGTGGGTCCTAATTCAATACGGATTGTGTCCTTTTAAGGAGAGGATGATGCCATGTGTGTCTGGACACACAGGGAGAATGGCTTGTGATGACAGAGGCAGAGACTGGAGTGATGTAGCTCAAGCCAAGGAATGCTAAGGATTTAGGGCCCCCACCAGAGGCTAGGAAGTGGCAAGCAAGGATTCTATCCAGAGTCTCAGAGGGAGCATGGCCCTGCTGGCACACTCATTTCAGCCATCTAGCCTCCGAAACTGAGACAATAAATTTCAGCCACCTAGTTCAACAGTTCCGCCCCACACTCTGGAAATATATGCCTTCTGTTTCAAGTAACCCTTCACAAGAGTTTTAAATGCTCCAGGTAATGGTCATCAAGGCTACCTGCTTTACAAAAGGGTAAGTCACCTCCTTTTTGAGGTTTTTGAAGCTGATCCAGGAGCATAGTTGGAAGTAGCATACAGGAGCTTTTTCAGGCACAGGTTTGCATCTGGAGGAAGTCCGTCATAGCATGAGACCATCCAGAGACAAAGGCAAGGAGGGCAAGGGAACTCCCAGGGGAGAGGGGAGCCAGAGAGACTTAGGTGCTTAGATGACGTCGCTGTGCAGCCCAGCGCAGAGGGAAGTCTGGATCAGAGAGCTCCAAAGGGCGGCAGCAGCCCGGGTCCTTTATAGCTACAGGGATTATCTTATTTATGGCTCGCAGCTGTTGGGCAGTTTCACAGGGTATGAAAAGCAAGCAGCCTCTTATTAGCCAAAAACCTGCTTATTTGGGCAATGTTTAAAATAATTGGATCTGTAAACATTTTAGGTTGGGGCCAGGGGGCTTTTGGGCCAATGGTTTGCCATAAAGAAAGAAACCACATGGGGCCAGTGTACAGAGGCCATCTTTGTCTCAAGTATATAACACCTAAAGATTCTTTGTGCCTCTTGCTGGAAGTATACAAACAGTCTCTGAATTATTCTTATCAAAATATCAGAGGTGGCTATGGTCACACCTCTCCTGCAAATATAGGGAACAAAAGAAGATGCTAAATCACAGCATGGAGATGCAATTAGAAAATCCATCCTATCAAAATACCTTTGGGATTTGTTCAACAGTTACATTACAAAGGAAAATATATGATAATGTAACTATAGATTGAAGTAAATGTAAATGAGATAAATTGAAATGTGTGGATCTTATTGGATCCCAAAACAAAAATCTAACGGCAAAAGTTTTAAAATTATGTAAAATTAGGGAAATTGGCCAATGCCTATCTATTTGAGTATATTGAGGAATAACTGTTCATTGTTAGGTATGACAGTGGCATTTTATGGCTATGTTAAGCAAATAGATACATTCCAAAATATTCAAGGATGAAATGGTATGCGAAAAACTGCTTCAAAACTATCCAGAGGGACATGGGTGTGACAGAGAAGAAAACTGATGGAAGGCAAGGCAGGTAATGGGTATATGAGATTTTCTTAAACCATTCTCTCCACTTTTACAAAGTTTTAATTTTCCCAAAATAAAATACTTAAACGATGGAGACCTACTTATGAAAGAAATCTTATGTTCTCTATAATATGCCGTGTAATGCAGTCTCTTCCCTAACAGGATATTCAGATGGTGCGGTAGATTGCATTATCGATTCCAATTTTTCATCCCTGTGAAACAGTCTAGCGATGTCCTCATGGTAGCAAGATTGCAATTCTTCTCCCCTTTCATTTTGAGCCACGTGACTTGCTTAAGTCAATGCTATGTGGGCAAATGTGATGGGAGAACCCCTGCAATGTGTTTGTGCATTTGGCTTTCCTCTATTCCTCAAGTGATCCATCATGAGGAACCTTCCTAAGGTGACTGCTCTCCATTCAGCTTCAGCCCCAGGATGGACATGCTTGGATGAGAGCCAGCCGGCGACCAGAATGGACTTGAAGACCCGCCCCTTGTAGCAACCTACCCAGGCCAACAGCTAGACCCGTGAGCGTGAAAATAAACATATAAGCAAAGTCTGACTAATACAGTTTTTTACACAATTCCAACAAATTACAAAATTTACACAATTAACAAGTTAATGTCAGACAAAGCATGCCATTATTATTAAGTAGAAATGGTAGGTCCGAGAAGGAAGAAAATTTAGACTGACAAAGGATCAAGAAAATCTTCACGCAGGAATGCTTAGTGGGTGCTTGCATTTCCTTATGCTATGCAAACAAGATTAGGTGAATTTGAAGTATTTGGAAACAAAATGTTACTGAAATAATGATACAAAATTAAACTAATTTTTCAAAGATTGAATGAATTCAAACTGAAATGTAAATTGTGTTTATACTCTTGCCGTGGAGCAGTCTCTCTTTGGCGTTCTAGAACTAACAACATGGCACTGGGTCAACCACATTACCTTATGTACACTTTGGAGAGTCATCTTGGTGTCATCTGTTCTATTACTTTAACGACAATTATCACAATCTAAAATATCTCATCAGATGACAATTATCATTCAAGAGTTTATCTGATGGAACCACTGTTGGTGTTAGAAAACTAGAGTAAAAGTCAATATATTTGGGAAAAAATTAGACGTGAGAAATTCTACAGAGAGGTCCACATTACTGCCAGCGTGTGCCATGCTGTTAATGTAGGACTACGCCCTCTGTGAAATGTTGGGGCTCATGAAAACCTACTGAAAATGACTGCGAAGCCGTCTCTTTTTATATATTTTGTTAGAATTTAATATTACAATAACTATTTGCCTCTTAAAAGTTAAATATAAGCCATTTGTAAATCCGTCTGGGCTTATTGTGTGTTTAAACGGGTCTCAGTACGCACCCAGGGGCAAACCCAGAGAGACAGACAAACACTACAGCCACTCAGTGAGACACACGGACAATCAGACACTCCTGCCAGGATACAGGAACCACCAGACACCTGAACTCTCCCAGACATACAAAATCACACAAACTTACTCACTGGGACATATAGGTGGACACAGACACACAATTCAGACACATTGGCAAAGATGATGTCTCGAGAGAAACTAATACATTCCCAGAGACACAGCCCAGGCCCTCTGCAAACCTCCGCGCGCCACCCACAGCTCGCTCTATCTACTTACAGCTAACGACATCAAATGCGCTGTGTACTTCTCTCTCTCCTCCTGGAAAAGGGACCTCACACTTCCCGAAGCTGCACGGTACAAACACCCTCTCTCCAGAAGAACCACAGACGGGATCCCGAGGAAGCAGCGTCAGGGGCCCGACGCGGCTGGGGTTAAGATACTCCAGCCCCCCACGCTGCTTTAGGATTCTTCCAGAAACGCACTCATCACGACTTTGATCCTTTGTCACTTTGCTTTTCCGATTGAAAGCTCAGTGAGGGCAGCCACGACGTCATCTCATCGGCTGGCAGCCACCGTGTCCTGCCCTGCGGTCCCCTCGGCAGCCCGCCGCTCTGCTGGCCCCACGTGCCCGCAGACCCCGCTCCGTCCGCCTCGGCGGCCCCAAAGTCCTCACGGAGACCCGAGGGTGGACGCCTCGGGAGCCCGGGCCACAGAGACGGCTCCTGCAGGACCCAGGGGAGGACAGGAAGCTGAGGAAAGAGCCGCATAACCAGGCCTCTACCTTTCCCCGCGCATCCTCTTCTCCGAGGCTCCGCCCACCCGCGTGCGCCTGCGTACTTCCCCGCAGGCCGAGAGCGCAGGCGTCTCTGGGCGCGTTTCCTCACCGGGCGCGTTGCATGCCGGGAGGAGTCTGAGGGCGGGGCTTCGAGCATCTGCGGAGTCTCCCTCGGAGATCTCCATTTCCCACAGGCCACCGGGGCTGAGACCGCGCAGAGCGCAGGCGTCGGTAGAAGTGCGCATGCGCGGCGGCGGGGTGGCTCTGGGGACCCGGATGGGCCGTGGGGAGGAGGCGGGAGCTGAGGTGAGGCGTTGGGCCTGTTAAGTCCTGAGGCCCGAACCGGGCGGTCGAGACAGCGCGGGGCGGCGGAGGGAGGGCGAGTGGGCGGGAGTGCGCGTGCGCGCCCACACGAAGGCGGTGGCGGGAGGTCCCTTTGTGACGTCCCTGGAGGTCTGAGACTGGCGGGCGCGACTGGGATGGGGGCCTGAGCTGATGCTCTGCTTCTGTCACCTCCCAGCCCGCTGGGCACGGCCCGCCCCAGTGCTCCCCCAGCAGAGCGTGGACCCCTAAGGACGTCTCCCGGCGCGAAGGCACAGGATGGGCCGGATGCCGCTGTAGAGCCGGGGGCCCTCGCGACAGGCCCCGGGAAGCCCCGATGCTGATGCCAAGGCCTAGGATGCCCCCCCAGGCAGCCTCCTTGGGCAGGACTGTGGGGGCACCTGTATGTTTAAGGCCACATCTTCCCCGAAGATCCGACTGCAGGGCCCTGGAGTAAACTCGAAGGCGGATCCTAGGAGCCCTGCCCCGTCCCTCCAGGTCTGCGTGGCCCTGGGGGCGTTTCCTAACCTCAGGCCGGGTTCCAAAAGAGGTGTTTGGCCAGGAGTCCTTCATCCCCAGTCCTTTACTTCTTGAGCATCCCAAGATGGTGCGGGGAAGTATTCAAGGTTCAGGAGTTTGAATTTCCCCTTAGCAGATGAAAGCTTTCTTCGTTGATTTTCTATTATTTTTCATATACGTGCAGTAAAATCCACTATTTTAAGTGTAGTTCAATGAGTTCCCATAAGGACGTAATTATACCAACGCAATCAAGATAAAGAACACTCCGTCACCCAGGAAAGAACACAGGTGCCCATTTTTTCTAAAATCCCCCAGCCCTAGCCACTGATCTGTTCGTTTCCTGTACCCTTGTCTTTTTCACGTTCCATAAAAGGAAGGCCATTCAGCCTTAGGACTCTTGGTAAAATTCAATGCCGTAGTTCTAAAACTCAGAAATTACCCTTGCTTTCCAGTGTTCTGGCTTTCCAGCAGTTCCCAGGAAAGATCACGCACAGATCAAGCCTTCACACCTGACATCCCGTCTTTATGAGCTACGTGAGTTTGAGCACCTTTGTGCGCCATGCGTTTAACATCTTCACCTGCATGATGAGGGAATGATGAGGGGGTGTAAAATGAGATACAAAGGACTGTCAAATCACATTAAACTGTGGCATTTTATGAAAACATGTTAGCATGCAAAAAATGGAGAAAGACTAGATATCATCTGCTCTTAAATAAAACACTGAGGTGTTACATTTTGTCCTTTTCCTGGCGGAAGTCTACAGAGATGGATTTGAGAACTGCGAAAAGTAAAATGGGTGTTTGGAGCTCTGTGGATCATTAAAACAAAAAGCTTCCAGCTTTTCCTATAAAACATTAAAATTTCTCCTGTTTGAGGATGTCAAAAACAACTTTTCTACTACATGTTACTCAGATGATCCTTTATGTTCTGGAGCTCAGCTCCAAACCACAGAAGTGATTAACATTCCCCTCTCTCAGTAATATGACTGACTGCAACTGCGTTGACCAGTTTTAGCTCAGCTCAATTATTTCTGCCTTCTAAAATCACCGAACACAAGCCAAAATTTGAAAATATATCCTTTTAAACACTCTGATGCATCCCACAGTCCTTTGTTCATTCAAATTGCTTTAACTTAATACATGAAATTTTCTTTGACTTACCAGCGTGATCTTGGTGAGTTTTCGCTAGAGAGCAGTGACAAAACCGTTATTTAAGCTTTTATTATTAACAATGAATAAGCAATCCATTTAATAACAAATGTTCAGGTAATAAAACAAAATTTACATGCAGAAAAATACCTTGTGTACACCAGGTAATATTGATTCAGAATGTATAATGCTAAAAGTACAGTTGATTTGAAGTCCATAACTGCAATGGAATACTTTAATATATTCTCGCAAATGAAAAAGAGAATAACATTTGCTAGTGTTACGGATTGAATTATGTCACACTGAAGTTCTAACCCCAGCACCTCAGAATGTGACCTTATTTGGAAATAGGGTTGTTGCAGATGTAATTAGTTAAGATGAGGCCCTGACCTAGTATGTGTGATGTCCTTATAAAAAGAATGCCATATGAAGGACAGACATGCACCCAGGGAGAAGGTCATGTGAAGATGACAGTTATGCTTGCCACCAGCCAACCAACTACCAGAAGCTAGGAGAAGGCAGGCACAGACCCTTCCCTCGCACTTTCAGAGGAAGCGTGGTCCAGCCGATACCTTCATTTTGGACTGCAATTTGTGAGACAAAAACTTCTGTTGTCCTACGTCACCCAGTTGTGGTACTTTGTTACAGCAGTCCTAGAAAACTAATACTATACAAGTGATTTAAAAACGGTCAATGAGATATCTCTAAGAAATGTCTACAGGTGATTTTCTTTGAAAATAAAATGCACGGAGTTTTTACTGACACATAATCAAACATAATAATTATACCCTTATCAAGAAAGGGCATTCAGCTCTGAGTAACAGAAATCTCCCAAAGTCTAATATTTGAGGAAGGTGTTTGTTCTCACATAGAAAGCCTAGGTCAGCAGACTTCAAAATGCAGTGGATCAGCAAAGGTCCATGGGGTGGTTTGTTTTGCTGCAACACTGTAGCTTTTGTGGTGGAATCAGGATCAGAGCCATTAGAAGTATTGAGAACAAAGTGTTCACTATACAAATTAGTCCTTGTAAGAGACCTTAACATCTAGAGAAGAGGGGAAACATAGCATCAGAGATCACTGACCGGGAGTCTGAATTAGTGGTCTGCAGGACACGTTAGGGTTTGTAGAAAAATCCAAATTGTCAGTGCCTGACACCCAAGTGGATCCTAGATACTGAGCTCATGGAGGCATTTGCGGAAACTTATGCTTCCAAGAGAAATGGAAATCAATCATTTGGCATTTCTTTTGAGGGTACGCTTGATTGGCAGGGCTGAAAATCAGAAAAATAGGCTAAAAGCTCATGTCCAAGAAGCCCCTATGCATCTGTCACATGCTAATGTGGTTCCAAAAACTTAGTTACGGCTTCTTCAGTTCTGCCTTCGAAACCTCATGCCAATTTAGGGTACTGGCGAATTCAAACATGGAATCATAAAGGGAAGGGATTCTGGGAAATGTAGTTCCCAACACTAGCAATATTGACATAACACGATCCAAGAGAACTAGCTCAAACTCTGTCTCAGGGTCACATCACAAGTATCTCCTAAGTAAAAGCCTACTGTTCAATTCCCAATCACAAGCAAGGGCAAACAGCAATGGGGAAGAGTTGAAAATAACAATTCACATGAGACTATACGCTTTGAAGAACTCTGCATAATTACACATTTCTGCCAACTACTTATAAGGAAAATGGAATAAGGCTCCTCTGGCCAAAAATAAATAACAACTCTCTTGATGAGAAGTGGAAAATATATATGGGTGATATCCAGGGAGAAAATCCCAACCAATACCAAAGTATCATTGTTCCAATAACCTCTTCTTAAAGAACAATTTAAAGAACTAAGACATTAAGACTGTTTACATATTGAAAATACACTTCAAATCACCCATAAGTCCAACAAACTGTAAAGGTAAGTTTTATTTACTGAAATGTAAGAAAAAATAATACCTGCAAAGTTTATGTAGTATAGTTGTAATACTTGGAGAGTTATCTTTCACCTAAAGGTTTCTTTGCAAAAGAACTGGAAATATGCTCCCTGTGGGTCCATTTTAATGATCAAGTACTCATAAAGGCAATACCATATCTATAACTTTTATAAGATTTCTCTCCTGGTGTGAATTTTCCGAAGCGCTGTGCATGAATTCATCTGCAGAATTCCCCACATTACATATGTAGTGTTTTTCTGTAGTGTGTATCCTCACATGTCTTCTTAAGGATGAGGAACAACTGAAGGCTTTGCCACATTGCTTGCATTCATAAGGTTTCTCTCCAGTGTGCATTCTCATATGTATTGGTAAAGATGACGGCCATTTGAAGACTTTCCCACATTCCTTACATTCATAGGGTTTCTCTGCAGAGTGGGTTCTTACATGCTGCTGCAAAAGTTCGGGCCAACTGAAAGCTTTCCCGCACTGCTTGCATTCATAGAGTTTCTCTGCAGTGTGCCTCCTCATGTGTTTTTGTAAGGATATGTGGCAATAGAAAGCTTTCCCACATAGCTTACATTCATACGATTTGTCTCCAGGATGCATTCTCACATGTTCTCGAAAGCAAGCAGACAGATTGAAGGCTTTCCCACACTGTTTACATTCGTAGGGTTTCTCTCGTGTGTGTGTCCTCATATGTTTCCGTAAGGATATGGGCCAGTTGAAAGTTTTTCCACACTGACTGCACTCATAAGGTTTCTCTCCAGTGTGCACTCTCATATGTCCCCTAAAAGATGAGGGATGGCTGAAGGCTTTCCCACACTGGTTGCACTCATAAGGTTTCTCTCCACCGTGAGTCCTTTCATGTCTTCGAAAAGACTGCGGATAGATGAAGGTTTTCCCACATTGTTTGCATTCGTAGGGCTTCTCTCCAGTGTGAATCCTTTCATGTCTTCGAAAGGACTGTAGATAAATGAAGGTTTTCCCACACTGTTTACATTCATAGGGTTTCTCACCAGTGTGTGCTATCATGTGCCTTCGAAAAGCTGAGGAATAACTGAAGGCTTCACCACACTCCTTACATTTGTGTGGTGTCTCCCCTGTGTGTGAAATCATGTGTCTTCGAAAAGTGGAGGAATAACTGAAGGCTTCACCACATTCCTTACATTTATAGGGCTTCTCTCCAGTGTGCGTTATCATGTGCCTTCGAAAAGTTGAGGAGTAACTGAAGGCTTTCCCACACTCCTTACATTTATATGGCTTCTCTCCAGTGTGAGTCCTCACATGACTAGTCAGACTTGAAAAGTCAATGAAGGCTTTCCCACACTGCTGACATTCATAGGTTTTCTCAGCAGTGTGAATCCTTATATGCCGATTGAGAGAAGAAGTACGAGGAAAAGTCTTTCCACATAATTTACACGCATAGGGTCTCTCTCCATTGTGGGTTCTCACGTGCGATCTGAGGTGGGAACGGCAGCTGTAGGCCTGCCCACATTCCTGACATTGATATGGTTTGTGTCCAGTGTGAATGGCGATGTGACTCCTGAGGGATGAATGATGCACGAAGCCTTTTCCATATGCACTACATTCGTACCGTTTTACTCCAGCAAGAGTGTTCTGGTAAAGATGAAGATTTGGAGTCTGACTGAAGCCTTCCCCACACTGGTCATTACTTTCACAGAGTCTCTCCATCACAAGATTTCTGTTAAAAACAAGAAGTATGTTATCAATGATTTGATTAATAATGATTTATTATTTATTAGTATTAGGATTACATTTTTCACCAGTTTCAGTGAATGGGTAGGTTTTATACCCTATCTGACTTGTTTTAAAGTGGAATGAACTGAATATTATGGAAGGGAGCTCAACCACAGCCATTACTGAAACAATGTTCCTTAAACATGAGCTTTCTTCCTAATTGTTTTCAACTGAATTGTTTCTAACACTCAACATCGATGTCACGTGTTTTTTTTTTCCTTCTTCTCCGCAAAGCCCCCCAGTACATAGCTGTATAATCTAGTTGTGAGTGCCTCTGGCTGCACTAAGTGGGACGCTGCCCCAGCATGGCCCGATGAGCAGTGCCATGTCCATGCCCAGGATCCGAACTGGTGAAACCCCAGGCCACTGAAGCGGAGTGCAAACCCAGCCACTCGGCCATGGGGCCAGGCCCCTCAATGTCACATTTTAAGGAGAATTTTTTTTGTGTGAAAAACAATCTGATCTAGGCTTATGTGGGTTTTTTGTTTGTTTGCTTTTTAAATTTCAGGACAAACTAAGATTCTCTCCTGGAATACTGCTTTCTCTTGTGAGTGCAACTCACCTCAGGTGTTTCCCCTGGTTTGTGCGCTGATCTTCAATGCTAAGTTCTTCACAAATTTTTCCTAAGATGGAGGCCCAGGAATCATTTCTGGTGAACTTTGCTATTTTATGTTCCTTGGATATTTTATTTCCATAATTATCCTGCTGAGAAACTGACCCATTGGCCTTAAACTGAGTTTCATCATCTGAAAGCAAAAGGAAAACAAATCTTACAAGAAAAAGGTACCCGCTAGCCAAAAGACACTGAGGACTTTAGCTGTGTCAGGACTTCATCAAAAACAAGTATGAGGGGTCAAATGGTAAGCAATTTAATAAACGCAGTAAAATTCTCACAAGGTTACATAAACAAACCTCAATGGGCCTCCTAATAACCAATGAAACACATTCACCAGTCACAGTAAGAGAGCTTTCTTTACAGAAAGAAAAACCAAGTTTAATACATAGATTCTTCTTCTCATGGAGAAACAGACTCCAGCTCTATGATGGCTGTGACCACATCTGTCCTATTAATTAATGTGTTCCCTTTCCACACTCCAAATCTTGGAACAGCTTGATGTGCAAGCTATGCTTGTTCTCTAAAAGACTAAGTGAAGGAATGAGTCATCCTTACCCACTGAGGCCAGGTTTCTGAAGTTTTCCAGCATCACGTCTCTGTAGAGCTCTCTCTGAGCAGAATCCAGCAGAGCCCACTCCTCCACGGTGAAGTCCACAGCCACGTCCTCAAAGACCACTGAGTCCTGAAACAGCCAACACGTGCAGGAGGATGCAGGAGATTCCCAGCACTCAGCAACTGGACTCACTTCACCGGAAGTTTCAACACAATTCTGTGTCACCCAACACCCACTCCATGACTCGGTCATCAGACCTCTTACTCTACGTCCACACTCACGTCCTCAAAGGTTTAACAGCACCACTAACACACTGATTGTATCTCTACATTTTTACTGTGCCCACTTCAAGTCCTGTTCTCTGTCCAAAGGGCTCAGACCACATTGGAGGATTCAAAGAAATGCTATACAAATGAAACAATTATTTGCATTTTAAGACCTGTCAATCCCTTATGACACAAACTACTTCAGCTCCTTCCACTGGCACACCACATCCCTCAGCCCGACATGAAGCACAAGGTCACACCTGGTTTTCAGTGAAATCACAGTGAAGGACTTGGAACTGTTCCTTCTCACCAAACACAAGAGGCCAACAGCCTGCTGGAACCCAACTTGCAGCAAAGGCCAAGCAGCCATATTGTCTTAAAGAACTTCTGGCTGTAAATAAGTCCAACTGGTGGAATGAAAAATTTCTTTTAAAGAATATTAATTTTACCTTATTTGTGTAATAGTGATCGCAGGCTTAATTTCTACTCTTCCTCTCTGTGCATCTTCATGAAGTTGGAGCTCAGGAAAGAGGAAAGAGACACGGGAACCTAGGCCTCCATACATTCCACACACTCCTGAGTCTGAGTGCTGCTGCCCACCAGTTCTGAGGACTCTCTCACACTCACTCACTCACACACACAGACACACACAGACACACACACGCACACATACAGAGTGAGGTTATATGATGCCAAAATGGCCCCTTCCACCAGAGCCATCAAAGAGAACTCTTGCTGAATTTGAGGATAAGGGTAAGAGCCCAACTTTGCTAAGGCGTTAACTGAAGACAAGAACATCCAACAGTGAATTTGTGCTTGATTATAAAATACATAAAGGATTCGGCAGTTCCTTCCTACAAAGGAAACACTCCGCATCTCAAACTCCAGGAGAAAGTGATTCCCCACAAACCATCCTGGAGGCTGCCCTCTCAGCGTCTCTCAGCTGCATGTCCCTCCTCCGTTGGGCACGTGAGCATGTCAGGCCAACCCCTAAGCTTATGATCTGCATGCCTCCCTTAAGCCCTGGTCTTTTAAAAAGACCATCAATGCACTGACACCCACGAGCAGGGACAGAGCAAATACTCTCATGCACAATTCTGGTGCCAGCATTTACCTATTCGACAAGCAGCAGAAGAGGAATAACCCTATTGTTGCTAAAGGGACGACAGGAGCGTCCCGAGTCAGCTGAACTGCTGTCAGTCCCGTTATCTGTAGTGTTTCCTCTAATACAGTCTCCTCACCTAGCGGGCAGAAAACGAGCTGACCGTGCAGGCCTTAACTTAGCCTTAGAGACGAGCACTGGAAGGCTGGCCTCTGGGAACTGGGATTTCGGGAGCTTTCACACCGCCCTAACTGAAGCGACTCGCTGAACGTGCAGCCTCGCTGTGAATGCCGCACCTGCGTTCCTCCTAGGAGTCTGGAGTCCCGGCACCTGCGAGGCAGCGGGTGCTCACAGGATCCGCTGTCAATGAAATGCTGGCCACTGCGTCTCTAATGAGCTCCCGGCAGATGATTTTACATGTTGTCACAACTCGATGCTGGTATCAGGGACGTCCTGTGCGGCTCCCCTGGGAGGGGACTCTCGGAAAGCATACACCTGGTTTCCTTCAGATTTCTCCCCCGCCGCCTTTTCCCTCTGCCGATCTGGCTCTAACAAAGCATAGTGGATTTGGTATATGCTTGTAATTTGGTAAAAGCTAGAGGGGTCACCCTAGTAAGTACAGAGAAAAAGTGTCTTTATAGGAGGAAAACGCCATGTGGAGACAGAGACACACAGGCCAGACGGCCACGTGAAGAGGGAGGTAGAGACTGGAATTATGCTGCCCCAAGCACAGGAAGGCCTGGGGCTCCCCGAAGCTGAGAGACAAGGAAGGGTCCCAGAGCCCCCGAGGGCTCTGAGGGCGCGGGACGCTGCCAACACCTTGATTTCCGCTCCCAGCCTCCAGAACGGTGAGAGGATGAATTTGTGAGCCACTCGCACTGTGGTCCTTGGTTACGGCAGCCCTAGGAAACGGATCCCAGGGTGAGAGTGAATTTGCAGTGAGGAACAAAGAGGGGAAGGGGTTTTTCTACTTAAAATGGTTTTGTTCTGCAGCTGTTGCACCAGCATGTATCATAAAAACTGATGCAAAATGGCACGTGCTTGTAATCTGATAAATACTAGAGGGACCGTCCCCATCGGGACAGAGAAACAGTGTCTGCGAGACACGACCTCCTTGCTTTCTGCCACGGCACATGGCTGGAGTTTAAACTCTAAGCTTTAGAAAAAACCAGATTACATCTCCACCTCTGATAATTTTTCACTATGAAGTTTACCCACTGGAGGTTCAAAAAAAGAAGGAAACAAAATGGAAAAACAGGCAAGCTCTAAATAGAGATTTACTCTTGGAATTTTAGGTAGAAGTTTCCAGCTGGCTCACGAGCTCTTAGGAAAGCCTATTTCTGATGACCTCGAGGCCGCCAGCTGCCCAGCAATCTAAGCGGTCCTCAGAGCTGGACTCAAGGGCACAGAGGACAGCAGGGTAACTTACCACAGGTGGCACACAGCAGCGTCTCAGCTTTCTGCTGTGAGGAAGCCCCCAGCATTTTCCAGAATTCGGAGTCCGCAGATCCTAACTACCTGAACTTGACTGCAAGCTCAAACCCGACACGATCCAGGGGGCCGCTGCAGCCTCAGTGTGCACCATGCCGCCCTGAGCAGGCATCAGCTCCACCAACAGGACTCGACTCAGGGGACACAGGCATGCTGCACTTTACTGCACTTTGCAGATACTGCATTTCATACAAGATCCTCCACCAGCAAAACAATTACAACTCGCTGAAGACTCAGATGATGGTCAGCATTTTGCAGCAATAAAGTATTTTTTAATTAAGGTGTATATATTGTTTTTTTAGACATAATGCTATCGCACATTTAACAGACAACAGTATGGTGTAAGCATAACTCTTATATGCAGTGGGAAGCCAAAAAATTCGTGTGACTCCCTTTATTGCATGGTCAGGAACTGAACCCATAATCCCGGAGGCCTGCCGGCCCTGCAGATTTACAGACTTCTCTGTGAGGCCCTAAACTCTGGAACCTTCCCAGGTGCTGCTGGCCCGTCTAGGTCACGTGCAGCTGCCCATGAGGAAGGCCTGGTGTTCTGATGGGACCTTCTGCAATCGTGCTGCTCATTCTGGAATGGTTACTATCCACACAGATGGCCTCCGGATGGCGGCCACACCGGGGAGGTGGACGAATAGCACCGCAGATTACAAAACTGCAACTGCCTGCCTCATGCGGTCCTGACATGAGGACGGGACAGAACTACTCGGACTGCACAGAGAACTTTGAGACCAGAGGGCCCCAAGGAGGCCCCAGTGGGGGCCCTGTTGGCCAGGCTGTCTAACGCCTGTCCTGCTGGGGGGCCCCCCACAACTGTAAACTGGGTCTCGGGGGCCACAAGTGCCCTGTGCGATTCCGTTTCTCGGGTGTGCGTCCTGTCACCACACGGCCTTACCCCCGGAAGCCACTCAGCTCAGCTGCAGGCTCCTGGCCCAGGCTGTGCTCTGCGGGAATGAACTACGGCCAGGCAAAAAGAATACAGAAACAACCAAAGAGCAGAGAACACAGAAGCTTGAGGGAGAAGCCCCCTGGCTACCAGGGTTTACCTGAACTGGTAAGTCCGGGACCCCCAAAGGACAGAACGGATCCCAGTACCGCAGGATGGTGTCGCCCCACTGCCCAGGGTCCCACTGAGAATAAACCTGCTGTGAAGGTGCCCTGTCCAAGGGCCCAGGGCCTGAGTGTGCAGAAAGGGTCCACCGAGCAGGCCTGAGGGTCCTCTCCTTAGACAGGCCTGCCGGCAAGCTGCCTCAGCTGGCGCAGGGGAACCTGGACTCCGGGAGCTCCCACCCCCTGACAGCAGTGGCTCCCTCTGCCTTTCTGGGCAAATAATCTGGTTTACGCAGAAGAGCGGTTTTCCTTCCAGAAGGCTGGAATCTCGGCTCGCTGAGGCAGAGGGTATCCACACAACCAGCCCCGGTACCCGCGTCTCTCATCAGCCTCCCGGGTAGACAACACTTCTCACGTGTTGTCACGGCTGGCTGCTGGGGAATGAAGCGCGTCCCATGTGATTTCACTGGAGGGGACCTCGGAATCCTGCTCCTGTCTGCTCAGGACTCGTCCCAGGGCCCCCTCCCCTCTGCTAACGTCACCCGACTCTTGCACTATAGTAGTCACAGCTGTGACTGCAACCACAGGCGGAACCCGGGAGTCCTCCCAGTGAATCCGTGAACCTGGGGGTTGGCTTGGAGACTGCTACAGACCGACGGTTGTGTCCCCAAAGTTCACGTTCACACCTAAGCCCCAGCGTGATGGTATCAGGAGCTGGGGCCTGTGGGAGGGCACTAGGTCATGAGGGCAGAGCCCCCGTGATGGGACTAGAGTCACTGTAACAGAGACGCCGGAGAGCTCCCTGTCCCTTCCCCCATGTGAGGACACGGCGAGAAGACGGCGTCTACTGACCAGGAAGCGGCCTCACCAGACACCGAATCTGCCGGCAGCCTGGTCCTGGACTCGCCAACCTCCAGCACGGTGAGGCATAAACTTCTGCAGTTTAGAAGCCCCCCTGTCTCCAGGATTTTTGCTTTAGCAGCCCCCGCCGATGAACACAGGGACCCCCAGCACACCTCCTGAAACCATCGCACAGCTGAACCCCCTGTACAACGCTAACTTTTACAATGTGCCACTGAGCATCCATTACATGAGAAAGACTTTGCAGAGAGCTTCATACACATTAGCTCAAATATTCTAATGATAACTGCAAAGCAGACGTCAAAACTGGTTCACAGCAGAGGAACGCAGACAGTCGGTAATGTCACGCCAACTCCTGACACCTGCCCTTCTTCCACATCCACCTTCCAGCTGGTTACCTGTAGTGACTTATTCCCCAGTGTGATGAGATAAGCTCACGGTTGCCGGGCACGATGGAGAGTGGCCACCAGGAACCTCCGACTCCACTCTGACATGCTCACGCTCCTTCTCCCCGCCAAGCCCTGCGTCTCACGAGAGACCGCTCGCCAGAAGGATCTCACCTCTTTCTCTGCCATCTCGTTAAATCTATTCAGCTTCCGGCTACACAGGTCCTAGGATGACAGGCACTGGGGCTACAGACTGAACAAAACAAAAACTCTGAACACGTGGGTCTGAAACTCTTTCAGCGGAAAACAATAAATACGCGAAGCCAATAAAAGTCCTAAGGAAGATGTGTCACAGTGAGGGGATCAGGAAGGAGACAGACATATTTACACACGTGCGTGCGTATTTATCTATATTGATAGATAGATAGGAATGACTGGCTGCAGGGCAGAGGAAAAGAAAACAGGAAAATAACCATTTGAGACAACAGTGCAAATTGATAACTAAATTGCTTAAAAAAAATATATATGTCTACACAGCTAACAATATACATATAGGCATAACTATATACACACACACACACATATATCTTCACAGAATTGAACATGCTGCAGAGTAAGGGGGCCTGCCGTGGGGATTCACTGCCAGTGGGGTGTCTGGCGTGAAAGCTTATTCAACACTTAGGGCTCAACTTCATTTCACAGAGGATTATTTTTTAGTATTTCTGTCAAGTGTACATATGGCATATGCATTTTCCTGCACTGATGTTATATTATACAATAGAAAACTCCAAAATCAATCAATATGATTTACCTGTACTCATCTTAAGTGCTGCCTAAAACTATTTTATAACTCTCAACACACGCACAGAAAAGACTCACCACTGGGGACGAGAAGGTAACGTGCACAACCTGATAAGCAAACGCTGATACGAGGCTGCTCAAAAAAGAACAAAAAACATAGAAATGGCATGAAGTTCACTGTTTTCTCCAAAACAATTGCGTACAAATGAAGTACGCCTAGTACCTCGCTTAGTCCACATTATCCTAGAGAGCCAATCCAGAACTACCAAAAAATAAACAAATGTACAAGAAATGGAAAAGAAAAACACACGTCTTAGTGCGTAACTCTAACAACTGTACCTGTAGGACACCAACAGAACACAAAGATAATCACAGAATAAGATTGTTAACAAGATTCCAGGATAAAAACGCAGTATACAAATAAATTCCATTACCTTTCTAATTAAAAATGACAGCAAGTTGGGAAAATTCATCTTGAAAAGATAACACATATCATGGTAAAAACCAAATTAGTACTAAATAATTCTAATGAAGGCTATAAAAAGAAGTGAACGGAAAAATTAAAAAGTCTAAGGATGGTAACAAAATGAAATCAAAGGAAAGACAGCACACGTTCTTAAAAAGAACTCGGCGTTACCAAGACAGCAACCCTCCCAAGAGAGATCTCTGATCTTCAAAAAATTCCACTGAATTCCCAAACCAGGTATGTTTCTTCGGACTGGACAAATACTAATTTTACATTCCTAATAAGAACAGATGTCCGAAAGAGCCAGAATGTTCTGAAGAACCGGGGCCGGGGAGAGCTTGCCTATCACACAGCAAGGACTTTAAAGCAACAGGCGCTGTTGCTGTGATCCTGACATGATGGACAGCTGGACTGGACGACTAGATCCCAGACAGGAACAAAGCCGGGCAACAGGCCCACGTGTAGGACGAAACTTCATCGCAACAGGGCAGCCGCTGCAGAGCAGGGGCAGAAATGACAGGCAGTTCAATAGACGGGACGGCGAGAGACTCTTGTCTAAATAAGAAAGAAGCCTGTACTCCCACCGCTTCCATGGACAATAATCAATTTATTGTGGGTTAAAGCAAAGTGTATTACAGATAATAGCAAACCGTATTACCTACTGTCACAGAGTACCCACGCTGCCAAGGAAAATAACTGGTATCTTGGTGAATCTTTATAATTCACCAATTCACCTGCCACACTTCGTGGGAACGTCTTCATTTCTCTAGAGCCACAGTGAAAGGGAGAGTTTCTCTATTTCTTTGACATCCTTTTCCCCAGGAGGATTTTCAAGGCTAAACCCTGGAATTCCATGTGTTATCAAAGAAATAGACCTGAGAAACTCACTACCCCATGGGAGGCATTTAAAAATGCATGCTTGAACGGACTGTAACACACATTTTTCCTGAAATTCGTCCCTCTAGAAATATTTTATCTTCTGTTTCCCCACTCTATTAATTAACTGTTTTTACATTGGCTGAAAAACTGAGGTTCAATGAGCGAACACAGCTTTTCGAGGGGACAAACCCAGGGAGGGGCGGTGCTGAACTGCAACAGACAAATGGCCGTCCTCCCACGTGGACCCTCGCCCATCGCTCACTGGAGCGCCCAGAACAAAGGCCACCGGCTCCTGTCCCCGCCGGGTCTCAAGTGCGTTTGGCTCTGGCGCTGGGGCGCCGCCTCCCCGGGTGGGCGGTCCTTGTCCTGCGGGCTGGTTCTCTCCCTCCACCGGGAGAACCCGGGGGCCAGGAATCATTTCTTTTCTCCTCAAACCAGCGTCCGGGGAGCTGACAGCTAACCATCCAGGCCGTAACCGGGGCGGGGGGTCAATTAGGGACCGAAGACGGTTCAGGAGCCCCTCCCGGCCCAGGGCCCCCAAGTCGGTCTCCCCAGACTCCCCGCCCGCCCCCCAAGGCCCCGACCCGGGGCTGAGAGTCCCAGATCCCCGGGCGGATGGCAGCTGTGCGCATCTGGGTCACCGCAGGCGGGGACGGGACGCCGGGACGCACCCAGCGGCCGAGGGCGGGGACTCGGGGGGCCCCGGGGGGCGCGGGGAGACCCAGTCCCGCGGCCGGTTCCCGCCGGTTCGAACCAGCCGCTCCGCGTCTCGGCCCGGCCCGCGCACTCACCATCTCCGCCCGCTCCGACTCTCCGCGCGTCCTCCCCGCGGCCCCGGCAGGTGACAGCGACGGGACGGGACACCTGGGGCCGCGCGGGGCAGGTGCGCGCGGGGACGCGGCGGGACGAGAGCGACGTCCACGCGGATACCAGCACGCCCGCCCCTGGGCCTGATTGGACGGGGCTCTGGGCCCCCGCGTCCTGATTGGATAGTACTCCTGACTCTGACGTCTTGATTGGGTGGTGCTCCGGGCACTCCCACTCCAAGGCTCCCTGATTGGACAGTTTCCCGAGACCCGCCCCTGGCACCCCTGAGTGGACAGTTCTCTGGGTCACGCTCGTGCGTCCCTGATTGTTTCCCGGGCCACGCCCCTCTCATCCCTGATTGGACAGTTCTCCCAGACCCGCGTCTCCCGCAGCCTGAGTGACAGGCCGCCGGGACTCACGTGGGTCCCGGCCGCTGCCCGCAGCGGTGGCCCCTCCTCGTCCTCCTCCTGGGCCAGGATGTTCTGACTCAGTTTACTTGCTGAGCGACCCTAGTCTGAAGCCGAGACAGGACAGGACGGGAGGGCCTGGTGACCTCCGATGTCAGGGGGCCGAGGTCACCGTGGATGTGTGCCCTTTGTTTAAGAACAGAGGCAACAGTGACGTCACCGCGGGCAAGGCGGGGTCCGGCTCCGTTTTGACGTGTGACCCCTGACACCAGAAGCCCCTCCTTCCTCCCCGCCCCGACGTTGGGGCTTGAGGTCAGCCGACCACCGCCCTGGGTCCTTTAGCTCTGGGAGTGCGACCCCGCGGCCCCAGCCTGCGCGCAGACCAACCACTGGACAGACACGTGGGTATTAAAATCCTCAGGGGTACACTTTACACGGCGAGGAAATTCACGTCAGATCAGGCTTTTAGTGTCTCCCCAGAGAATTCTGAAAATGAAAAGCCCCTGTATCGCACAACGGTATGAACGTACCTGATTCTACTGAAAATGCATACTTAAAAATGCTTAAGATGGTAACGTTTCTCAGGATTTTGCCACAATATTTTTTAAAAAGTTTTATTTTTTAAAAAGAGTATTATATCCCTAAGGCAATTGAATTCCTGTTTGAACTGATATAAAACAACAACAAGCTTATATAAATGTGGGATGGACTGGAAAACTCTTAATACACTTAATAGACGGGGGTGAAAAACCTAATCCATTTAATATGCCTGCTCCTTTTAGAAAACATTCTCTCCCAAGAGATTAAGGGGACATCCAAACTCATATCACTTGTCATTTTATTTACAAACAGAATTTTAAAAATTTACTTTTTATGGCTTGCCGAAAGATTCTAGGCTTTCATAAAAATTAGTGTTTAGAGGATTAACACATAAAAAAAGCAGATTTGGGTTAAAAATAAATTACTCATTGGATTTATAAACCACTAAAAATAAAATACGGTTATATGCATTTTTTTGGTTTAATATGAATAATGAATGCCAAGTTTTAAAAAATCAGCATGGAATTTGGAACTCTGCCTTAAGACTGGTGCTGGCAGGTACCCCTAGCACAGCTGTCTGCTTGCCGTAATGTGTTCAGACAGAGACCCCATGGGCAACGCTCCTGAAGAACAAGTCATTTCATGCATTAGGGTGAAAAATGAGGCCGGTCTCTGAATTCTTCAAAAGATACTCATCGCCACAGGGGAGAAAAGCAACAAGTAGGACAATCTGAGGGAAAAGAAGTGTGACTCAAGATATTTAGACCATGCTGGGATGTCATTCATGTCTAGAGGTAACAAAGGCAGTCTCAAACACGCAACGAGTGACAGGGAGAGAAACGAGCAAATTCTTCTCCCGTCTTCCTCCTCCAGCCTCCCACCCTCCCTGCAAAGACTTGTGAGCACGGCCCAACGGGAAGCCGCTGGCAAAGCAGAAAGGTGGTTTACGGCATTTCCAGCAAAGGATGAAAGGGTAGGGGTGGGCAGCGGAGTGACAGCCCCCATAAAGGCGTGTACATCCTCCTCAGCGGAACCTGTGACTATGTCACCTTACAAGGCAAAGGGACTCTGCAGATGGGCTAAGTCGAGGCCCCTGGGATGGGGGTGACCCTGGATTCCCGGGGCCCAGGGTCAGCCCAGGGTCCTGAGCAGAGGGAGGCGGGAGGGTCAGAGGCCGAGATGGAGACGCTGCGCTGCTGGCCGTGAGGCCGGAGGAAGGGGCCCCGAGCCCAGGACGCGGCGCCTCTGGAAGCTGGAGGAGGCGGGACACGCTCCTGCCCTGGGGCCTCCGGGAGGACCCGCCCTGCCCGCCCCGGGTTTAGGACTCCCAACCTCCAGAACTGTTACAAGAATAAATTGGTGGTTTCAAGTCAGTAAATCTGTGGCAATGTGTTACCGCAGTCCCGGGGAACTCACACAGTGGGTCTGGAGCGAAGATACCATTGCTTGGTGAGGGGCACAAATAATTCCTGTTCCCATCCCATCTCGCATGAGATAATTCTGAGCTTTCCATGTGCTCCTTCAGCATGGCTCTGCTCCTACTATCATACATCTTGACAGTTTTTCAGAGAACATCTTTGCGTCTTTCTGTTTGAAATACAGTCATGTGTCACTTAACGGGGATGAGTTCTGAGAAACGCATTGTTAGCTGATTTTGTCATTATGCAAAGATCATAGAGTGTATTTACAGAAAATAGCCTGCTACACACCTAGTGTCTAGGATACTAGTCTTACGGGACCACCATCATGCATGCGGTCCACTGTGGACTGAAACATCGCTATGCGGCACGCGCCTATCTAGCTCTTCGGGACTGAGGATGTTCTGACCAGAAATTTTATCCCAAAACATTTGGAAAATAGCAGAACGTTAGATTTCTGCATTCCTCATGAAGGCATATATTAATAATAACCACAACATAGGGAGAAGGGGGGACATTTAAAACTACTATGAAACATTTCAATCATACAGAACAGGCAGGAAATAACATCTTGAATACTCATATATCTACCACTAAGCTTTCCTAAATTCTATCGGTTTACTATATCTATCAGATTTTTTTTTTTTTTGAGGAAGATTAGCCCTGAGATAACATTTGCTGCCAATCCTCCTCTTTTTGCTGAGGAAGACTGGCCCTGAGCTCACATCCGTGCCCATCTTCCTCTACTTTATATGTGGGACGCCTGCCACAGCATGGCCTGCCAAGCGGTGCCATGTCTGCACCCGGGATCCGAAGTGGTGAACCCCGGGCCGAGGAGAAGCGGAACGTGCGCACTTAACCGCTGAGCCACCGGGCCAGCCCCCAGATTTCTTGAAAGAAAGAAAATATTATAGATAGAGTTGAAATGTCCTGTGTGTCACCTCCAGGATCCCATTCCCCTCCATCTCCTCCCAGGGGGAAACCATAATCACAAGCTTGTGTTTATTATTGCCATGCCAGACATACAGATCCATAAACTGTGTATAACATTATTGTCCCAGTTTTCAAATTTTATAGAAATGCCATTATGGTATACATACTCTGCTTTTGACTTCTCCATCCCTCAAAAATGGCTTAATGTGGATAAATCACAATATATGTTTAATTATAATGTTTACTGTAACAAAATAAAATGCCAAAGAAATTAAAACAGGAAATACACCTTCTAAAATTACCAGAAATATACTCCTCCAATACAAATAAAAGATAAGAAGTATCAAAAATGACATAAAATACATTAGCAGAACTAAAGTCAACATCATTTATCACAGCAATAATTGGCATAAATGTATTCATTTAAAAAAAAAAGAGAATCCTAAAATAAAATCCAACTATATGGTAAAGATGAGACACAGGAGATTTAAAAAGTTGAAATTCAAAGGAGGTGAAAATTTATACCAGAAACAAACAGATTACTTTTGTTTAAAAAGCAGAGGTGGGGGCCGGCCTGGTGGTGCAGCGGTTAAGTTTGCACATTCTGCTTCGGCGGCCCGGGATTCGCCGGTTTGGATCCTGGGTGCAGACATGGCACCTCTTGGCAAGCCATGCTGTGGTAGGCGTCCCACATATAAAGTAGAGGAAGATGGGCACGGATGTTAGCTCAGGGCCAGTCTTCCTCAGCAAAAAAGAGGATTGGCAGCAGATGTTAGCTCAGGGCTAATCTTCCTCAAAAAAAAAAAAAAAATCCAGAGGTGGAAAGTAGACAAAAAGATCACTTCAAAATGATACACGGTATAATTCACAATGAAATGCTGTCACAAAATAGTTACCCCAAGACCAGTGCTGGCGTGGGACCCGGAATATGGTATACACCCAAAAAATGTTGATGGTGAATGATGCCGATGCATATCAGGGCTCTTGCTCCCTACTCTGGCAAGTACATCGCACACTTGGGACTTTTCCCAGGCCACCAAAGGTCGCTCCACCGCTCCCTGTCCCAAGTTCTACCTACCATCTTGGTACCCATAAGCCTCCCTGACTGGTTGATGAAACTCGAGATCCCTCGAAGTTGCTTTTTAGTCACGGTCAGAGTGATTATAGCATAACCAAACAAAACAGAAAAATGCAGAAAGTCACAAACAACCAGATAACCCTGACGAATAAACTCTGTTCGTGTCTCCACACCTCTGTCCGGCCTTTGTCCATTTACGTGGATATTTTGACTTCACTTGATAGAACTGCACATTCCAGTTTGCACTTTTTCTTTTTCACCGCGCAGCCAAGGCGCTTTCCGTCTTTGCGTACACCCTGCGTTTCCATCGTAGTGTGCGAGATGAGTCAGAACCTAGCTAAGCAACCAACAGGGATGGACGGATTAAGTAAAATATTGAAACACGACATTGAAATGAAAATATTGATTTTTGAAACAAAAAGTGGAAACAGAATGCCTTTTGTTTCAACCACTAAATTCATGTGATAATTCTCAGCAAAACCCCATTCCACGTTTGTGTTCGCATTTCCCGATCTTTTCCTAGAGGATGGCGCTCATCGGGTACCGCTCAGTGGCAATTTCCCCCATTAAAAGGCCCCTTCTCAGATCCGGACTTCAGTGCTTTCCTTCGAGAGCGTGGCATAAACCTACTGCTTTTCCAGGAGTACACCAGAATGAAGTCTAATCATATTTATGTGGTAGAGCGCTAAAAGATGCTTTCCGGGGGAGTGAGCAAGCTCTAAAATCCAATAAGGTGGCTGCTCTGATAGAAAGCTTTCCCACAATCAATCATTTTGTAGGTCTTCTGACTAGTGTGAGTTTTCTGATGGGTGACGAGGGACGAGCTCTGGCTGAACGCTTTTCCGCATTCGTTACAGCTATACGGCTTCTCTCCAGTGTGCGTCCTCTCGTGCCTAACCAGGGAGGACCTCTGGCTGAAGGCTCTCCCACACTGACGACAGTCATAGGGGTTCTCGCCCGTGTGAGTTCGCTCATGCTGATTAAGAGACGACCGGTCGCTGAAGGCCTTTCCACACTCGTGACACTCGTAGGGCTTCTCGCCTGTGTGCGTCCTCTTATGTAAGATCAGGTAAGAACTCTGGCAGAAGGATTTCCCGCAGTCTTCGCATTTATAGGGCTTCTCCCCCGTGTGGATCCTCTGATGTTGGGTAAGAGACGAGATCCTGTTGAAAGCTTTCCCACACTCACTGCACGCGTACGGCTTCTCTCCCGTGTGAGTCCTCAGATGTCGGGTGAGGGTGGAGCTGTGCGTGAAGGCCCTCCCACACTCCTGACACTCGTACGGTCTCTCGCCCGTATGAATTCTCTGGTGCTCACTCAGAGAATGCCTCCGGTTGAACACTTTCCCACACTGGCGACATTCAAAGGGCTTCTCCACTGTGTTAATTTTGTTGTGTATCGTAAGAGCCATGCCGCGATTAAATGGTTTCCCACTTTCCTCGTATGCCGACGTTTTCTCCCCTCTTTGAGTTCTTTTGTGTTGAATGACGGGACTATTCTGGCCGAGGTCTTTTCCACATTCGTTACTTTCACAGGATCTCCGGTCTGTGTATCCCGTCTGAGGATGGTTTAAGAATGGATCAGCTACCAGATTCTCAATATCTAGGTCACAGTTGTGGAAATGTTTTCCTACAGAACCTCCCTGGGATAAAACAGGGTCTGAGCTCCGATTATAGTTTTCCCCAAATTCGTACTGCGCAGTAGCGCTCTCCTGAGCAAATGCCTTCACGTGGATGTACGCCATTCGCCTCAAAAGCCTCTGGGGGTCTTCCTGGTTCTCCTCAAGTCGACCACATCCCCAGCCTTCTCTGGGGAGCTTTATGATGTTCATACCACCAGGTGGTTCTTCCCGCCAAACCACCTTCTTGTAAATTGACTCATGGTTTTCCGGTCTGTTCTCCCAACCTGAAATAAATTGAGGGGGGAATAAAAGGAATGAAACTTCTAACTTAAGAATGGTGGGACAAAAGAATTTCCAATGTATACAAGGCACATGTGGATTCATTTGCAAATATCAGCTTTCAGCATGGAATAAGGATAGGAAAAGAGAGATGGATCAGTATGCTGGTGTGCCGAGGAGAGGATGCAGCCGAAGAAGTCTGATGACGATGGGAAACGGGAAAAAACATAAATGTAGAAGGAACCACTCTACAAATAGGGGAATAAGAATGGCAGAGAGATGGGGGCCGGCCCAGTGGCGTAGTGATTAAGTTCACGCCTCCACTTCGTCGGCCCAGGATTCAAGGGTTCAGATCCCAGGCACGGACCTATGCACCACTCATCAAGCTGTGGCAGTGTCCCACATACAAAATAGAGGAAGATTAGCACAGATGTCAGCTCCGCAACAATCTTCCTCAATCAAAAAGAGGAAGATTGGCAACAGATGATAGCTCAATGCCAATCTTCCTCACCAAAAAAAAAGAAGAAGAAGAAGAAGGAAATGGGATGTTCTTTTCTCTGCACCCAAAGAGAGGGAGTAGAAGCAAGTACGTAAAAGGAGAAAGTTGCTGGAGGATGAACTGAAGGCATCTGGGAAAGTGCCACCAACGACCTCGGCTTTCTCCTTATACAACTGGTGCCTCTGTGGAGAAATCTGTGACCAACAGTCCCCATGACGCTGCTCCCATCCCAATGGCTCATATCTGCCTGGTTCTCACCTGGACAAGAAGCTTGGGGAATCCCTTTTTCTCCCATCCACATGGCTTCTCCTTGCTCCAAGTGGAAAGATACAACTGGTTGAAAGAGCGAATACGTAGTCCACGGAGAGAGACTGGTGACTCGAGAGGTTTGTGCTGGGGAAGAGGTACCATCCTCAGCACCTGATTCAGGAATCAGGTTCTTCAAGGCTTCTGAGAGAGAAAAAGCACACTGGAGTGGTAGCACACTGACCAAGCTAAAGATTTTATTTTCCTAATTAAAAAATTGTGGATCTTACATTTTCCCCAAAGAAGACATACAAACGGCCAATGATGCTCGACATCATTACTCATTAGGGAAAGGCAAATCAAAGCCCCAGTGAGATGCCACTTCACACCTATTAGGGTGGCTAGAATTTTTTTAAAAAGCAAAAAGAAAATAAGCATTGGAAAGGATGTGGAGAAACTGGAACCCTTGTGCACGGCTGGTGGGAATGTAAAATGGAGCAGCTGCCGTGGAAAACAGTTGGCAGTTCCTGAAAAGTTAAACATAGAATGACCATACGATCCAGCAATCCCATTTCCAGGTATAAACCCCAAAGAATTGCAAACAGGGTCCCAAAAACATGTTTGCACACCTGTGTTCACAGCAGCATGATTCACAATTGCCAAAAGGTGGGAGCAACCCGAGTGTCCATCAACAGGGGAATGGATGAACACAATGCGGTCCATCTACACACTGGAATATTAGGCAGCCTTAAAGAAGAAGGAGATCCTGACACCTGCTCCAACGTGGATGGACCCTGAGGACGTGATGCTCAGTGACATGAGCCAGACACAGAAGGACACTCACTGTGTGGTCCACTCACAGGAGGTCCCCAGAGGAGCCACATCCACAGAGACAGAAAGTGGACGGGGGGCCAGGGGCTGGGGGAGGGGTGGGAGTCAGTGTTTCATGGGGACAGAGTTTCAGTTTGAGGTGATGAAAAGGTTTTGAAATGATGCTGCTGGTTGTACAACACTGTGAATGTAATTAATGCCACCAAATTGCACACTTACAAATGGTTAAAAAAGGCAAATTTTATGTTATATATACTTTATCATGATAAAAAAAATGTTTTTTAATTACAGCTCTTCTCCTGGGCAGAGAGAGTCCAAATGCCCAGACTGTGTCCCCACCAGGAATCAGAGATGCCATCTATGCCCTAGCTAAGATCAGCATTTCATCAGCAGCTCCGGCTATCACAGACCGAAGAAACCAGCAGACCGTGAGCCCCACGGGGGCAGGGACCATGCTGTCTTGTTCACCCACAAACCCCACTTCCTACGATCACTCTTGACACCCAGCGCATGCTATGAAGCGTTAACTGCAGAGCACAGGAAAGATGGCGCCGGCCTTACCCAGGGAGGCCAGGTTCCTGCAGGTCTCCAGCATGACCTCTCTGTAGAGTGTCCTCTGAGCCGGGGCCAGCAGCTCCCACTCCTCCTGCGAGAAGTCTACGGCCACATCCTGGAAGGTCACCAGCTCCTAAAAGGCCACATGGGTTCTGCTCAAGAAGGGCCACCCCACCCACGCTCGCAGGAGGGGGGCTGAGGGTGGTGGCACCGGGGACTTCAGACTGAGCAGGGAGCACGTTCAGAAGTCAGATGCCACTAGCACCTGGGGGGGTACCTGTCATCAGCTTCCTGTCAGAGGATGTCCAGACCCTGGGCCCGCCGTAAACACAGCAAGGACGCCCGCGCACAGGTCTGACGGGATTTCGCCCATTTCTTCTTGAACTGGTGATTCTAACTTTTCGATCTGTGAGTATGACACTCGCACTTGGGAACCTCCCCCGGCTGACACTGAAAATTGATAGACCCGCGGCTCTGCCATTGCACGGTCATGAGATGGATGGCAGGTCTCTTACTGACCCTTCTGGGGTCTGGCCTCACGTTTAATGGAGAGGAGATCTCAACCTCACAGGGTTGGAGCGAGGGCTAATGAGTTCACGTCGGCCACGGCACCCGCCACTGATCCGGTCAGAGAACCGAGAAGCCGCAGCCAGCATCCATGTGACCAGGGGGGTCATCGCCCCCGACTTGAGCTCAGTGGGGACTGGTTCTTGGCCGCCATGACTTGAAGGGGCATGTCCGAAGGCACAGATGGAGTAACAGGCGGGATCTGCCACTCCACCCCCGACTCGCTGAAATGTGGCGAGAGCATCCTTTGGGATCAGGCAGGCGGAGGGGGCATGTGGATGTTTGCTGCCTGGCCGACTCCTGCAGCATCCTCGTTCTGAACCGGAGGCCGGGCTGCTGTCTGTCATGAGGGCTGAAAATTACCCGCGGAATCTGAAAATGACAGATCCACTCCAGGGGAACGGGCCTGCCCGGTCCCCCCCCCCAACCCCCCCCCCAACCCCCCACCCCCGCCCCCGCTGGTTTGGGCCATCCTGGCTGAAGTGAGGGTTTTTTTTTTTTAAATAAAAGCTCATTTCTGGTGATGCCTTTGGTCTCTTTCCCCTCCCCTCAGGAGGAGAAAGGGCTGGAACATTCCCAAAGGTGAGCTTTGAGGTGGACCAAAAATATTCAACGTTTCTGTCGCTCATTCCTTCCAGCGGGAGAACAGGTTAAATTAGTTCCCAAATTTTAGACGAAGCAGAAAAAAACAGCCTTTCTCCAGCCAGCTGCAGCTGCGGCTCCTCCTCCTCTGCCCCCGCATTCCAGCTGGTTCTTCCCGGAGGTTTCAGGTTAACCCTATGATTGCTAAGCTCGCTGCAAGGGTTTGAGTAACTTCGCAGTTAAAAGAAAAAGGCACAAAAATGAAGGCTTTGTATTTTGTGACAATTACATATGGATGTATAGTAAAAAGTTAGCATGAAATATTATTGTTTTTCTATTTATTAAATATAATAATATATTCACATTATTATAATATATAATTATATTAAAATTATTATTATGCAAATATATTATTATAATTTCACAATAGAGAGATCATCTCAATCAAGGAAAGCTGGGGGAAAAAAGTCCTAGTGGGACACAGCTTCTTTGCTTTTTGCTGTCCTGCTGGGCAGGTTAAAATGTAGACTCTTTAAATATTAAAAACCAAACAGGGGCCAGCCCGGTGGTGCAGTGGTTAAGTGCGCATGTTCCGCTTCAGCGGCTCAGGGTTCGCAGGTTCGGATCCCGGGTGCGGACATGGCACCGCTTGGCAAACGCCATGCTGTGGTAGGCATCCCATGTGTAAAGTAGAGGAAGATGGGCAGGGATGTTAGCTCAGGGCCAGTCTTCCTCAGCAAAAAAAAAGAGGAGGATTGGCAGCAGTTAGCTCAGGGCTAATCTTCCTCAAAAAACAAAGAAACAAGTCTCCACAGCTCGTGATTTTTCCTGCGGTCCGTCTCTATGTGGACGCTGAGACAGACAAGGGCCCAGCGGTCTGGCCTTGAGGCGTCTCTGCTTTGCTGCCGGGAAGACAAGCTGCGGGCTCCCTCTGGAATTGTGCACTCACAGATCCTCTCTGCCTGCACGGGCGCCGGGCTGAGACCTGACTGTTCCCCAGGCTCACCTGGAAGCTGGTCCAGGTGCAATGACCAGGGCTTTGACTTGGGGACCACTGCAGATCCAGGGGCCCTAACCATGACAACATCATGGATGCTGGCTGAAATGTCCACAGAAAAGGGCTGGACCATCTGGAACTGAACAGTCAATCAGCTCTATATTTCTGACGCAGAGACCAACTGCCTTCCGAAACTTGCGGCTGCCACCCAAAGCCTCGAGGTAGGGGGGTGGGACCCCGTCACCCACTTCTGACGGATCTGATGTCCCAAGTGTCTGATGGCTGCCTCTGCTTCGCTCAGCTTTCTCCTGATACACACACCTTACCGAGGAAAGCAGTTTCACTATTAAACACAGTCGTCTCCAGCCTTAAAAAGGAAGGAGATCCTGACGCCTGCTACAACGTGGATGGACCTGGAGGAGGTGATGCTCAGTGACATGAGCCAGACACAGAAGGACACACACTGTGTGGTCCACTCACAGGAGGTCCCAGAGGAGCCACATCCACAGAGACAGAAAGTAGATGGGGGGCCAGGGGCTGGGGGAGGGGTGGGAGTCAGTGTTTCATGGGGACAGAGCTGCAGTTTGGGGAGATGGAAAGTTCTGGAGACGGATGGAGGGGATGGTGGCACAGCAACGTGAATGTGCTTCATGCCGCTGAGCTGGGCACTGAAAAACGGTTACGATGGTACATTTTATGTTACGTGTATTTCACACAATTTAAAAAAAATTTAAGTAAAGAGGATGGCACCTTCCGGGGTGGCCCCTCTGGCTCTATAGGCGAAAGTGTGGGGTCTCAGGCTGCGCGGATGCCCCCAGCCCTAGGAAGGAGGCACAGCTCCCCTGTCTGGAGAGATGCCTGCTGGATGCAGTGGGCGTCTTTGCTACACTTACGAGAAGCGTGAGGACCTGGACGCAGATGCTCATGGGGAGGTCCCCCTAGTCCCCAGCATAGCAAGGGGGCTGCCTTCCCTCTGGACACATGATGCCTCCTGGGGGAGGAGGAAGTCCCCACTCACCTGGGGCCAGGGGGGCAGGTGCTCAGCCATCCTCTCCTCTCGGAGGGGAAGAAGCAGGTTTCTGGGCAGGCAGAGCTGTGGGGGGAGAAAGGCCGAGTGAAGAACAGACCCAGGTCGGTCCCCAAGCCCGGAATCTGGCCTGGCGACCCCTCCAACTGCCCGAGGTGACTCTCACACACAGATCGTGGTCAACGGCCGCCAGGACAGAGGCCAGGAGTCTTAATGGCTCCAATTCATGGATGAAGACACTGATGGTCTTGGAAGCAACCAATTCAGCTGAGTTTACAAAGTGCACGAGTTCTATCGTGAAGCACCCGTGCTAGGGTCCTGGGGCCACGAAACAAAGGACCACACACAAGGGCCTTAAAACAACAGAAACTTGTCCTCTCTGTTCTGGAGGCCAGATGTCTGAGGCCAAAGTGTTGCAGGGCCGCGCACCCTCCGGAGGCTCCAGGAAGGAGGGTCCTTCCTGCCTCTTTCAGCTTCCAGGGGCTCCAGGCATCCTTGGGCTTATGGTCATGTCATCACCCGTCACTGCCTCATCATCACGTGGCCGTCTTCTCTCTCTGTCCCTCTTCTTCTTATAAGGACACCAGTCCCTGGATTAGGGCCCACCCTACGCCACGGTGACCTCATCCTAATTTAAACCAGTTATCTCCGCAAAGACCCCATTTCCAAATAAGGTCAAGTTTTGAGGTTCTGGGTGGATGCGAATTTGGGGGATACCATTCAACCCAGTCTGACCTCCCAGAAGCAAACTCTGGAAGGCTCTGTCCTGATGCCGGCAGGTGGCCCACCCCCTCGCCCGTCTCAGGGTCACCCCTCCCTCCCCACAGCGGGCCCCCAGACTCCGCCTCTCCTGGACTCCTCTCTTTTCTGCTGGACTCCTCTGCCAAACCCCGCTGGCAAGGCAGCAGGAAGGATGGAGACGGGTCTGTCCCCACCCACAATCCTGGCGCCATGTCCCCTAGATTTGGGTGTCACTGTGGAAGCAAAGAAAGGAGAGTTGACCCAGGGTAGCGAGCCCATCAGTGGCTGTTACCGGAACGCGTCAGCTTGAAATGACGGCAGGGCAGCGGGCGTTTATTGAGTGCCTTCTGTGTGCGAGGCTCGGTGTGTGAGGTCACACCTGTCCGTCCTCACCGTGAGAAGCAGGAACACGTGCCCCTTAGGCCTGGGGGGGGATTCTGAGCTCCCCACACACCCACGGGGCCCCCTGCCCTTCCGGGGGATCGGGGCTGTGTCCATTCTGACGCCTCTGCACAGTGACAGGCCTTTCTCCTGGACCAACTTTAGTCGGGCCCCCGGAGCCCTCGTCTCAGCCGGGCCTCAACCTCCGGGCTTCCCAGGGCCTCTGTGCATCACTCAGTTTTAGCAAGAGCCCTGCTAAGTCACGTTAGCCAGAACCCCCCGCCCTCCCTGGTATATGATCGCCCTGGACATTTGATCAGACCCCTCACCCCCACCCAGGCCAGGTCGGATGGCCGGCCTGTCTGCAGCGGGAATCAGGCCAGGTGGGTGAGGCTCGAAGGAGAAGCAGGACATTTGCACAGCCCCAAGCTCACGCCCCCACGATATTTATTAATTACCATCACGGTTTTCAGATATGTCTGTACAGTCGTCAGTATTTCTCCTTCCGGGAGGCGGCGCAAACCTCCGTCCCCTTCAGCGTGGGCCGACTGACCCGCTTCCAACAAACAGAGCACAAAAAGGGAGAAAGAGTGACTTTCGGGTGGGGAAGCTCCACAGACCCCACCTTCACCAGGTGATCGAGGTTCTGATCACCGGGGATGAGGGGTGGGCATCAGGGACCCTGGACATGACACGAGGAGGACGCCTCGTCCCTGGGGTGTCTTCCCCCAAAATCACGACACGATGTCAGACACACCCCACCTGCAGGCAGGCCGTCCTCCCGAAGCCCAGCCCGGCGCTCTCAAGTGTCAAGGCCATGGACCACAAGGAAAGTCTGAGGAAGCGTCACAGACGGGGGCAGACAAGGACTCCACGTCACATGGGATCCCGGATGGGGTCCGGGGCCAGAAAAAGGACATGAGCGGAAAATCGGGGGAAATCTGAATAAAGTTTGCGTCTAGCTAATAGCACAGAAGCAATGTTAATGTCTTAGTGGGTTTTTTAAAAAAATTGTATTGTGGTGACAACACTTGACACGAGCTCCATCCTTGGAACAAATGTAAGCGTACAATGCAGTGTCGTATTGACTGTAGGCGCAACGTTGTCCTACCTCCCTGGACTCGTGCATCCTGCTAAACCGAAACTTTACACCTGTCGATGAAGAACGCCCCGCTCCCCTCCCCCAGCCCCTGGGAAGCACATTCCGGCTAATGCCTCAGTTTTAATAAACGTTCCACGATAAGATGTTAACATTAGCGGATGCGTTCCACCGGGGCGGTGTCACCCCTGAGATGGTGCAAATCTGTTCTTAGAGGGGTGGGGAAGAGGAAAAACAGCGTTCTTTTTATATATAAAGCACAGCTCTCCATATAGCGCATAAGCTGATATACAGCATGTCTGTCTGTCGTTACGGCCTAAAACGTGTCCCTCCAGGGTTCCTACGCTGACGCCCTAATCCCCAGGACCTCAGAACGTGACTATATTTGGAGACAGGGCCTTTGAAGAGGTAAAATGACGTCCTTAGGGTGGGCCCTAATCTGATCTGGCTCGGGTCCTTTAAGAGGAAGAGATGAGGACACAGACACGCACAGAGGGACGACCACGTGAGGACACAGGGAGACAGCGGCCGCCCACGCGCCAGGGAGAGAGGCCTCAGGGGGAACCAGCCCTGCCGACACCTGGACCCCAGACTCCAGCGCCAGGAGAGAACCAACGTCTCTGGTTTAAGCTGTCCACCTGTGGGGCTTTATGGCAGCCCCGGTGAATGAACACATCCTTGGTGTTAAAACGTCATGGGGGAGATGGCGTCCATATCGGCGTGCTCTGGCTGTGTGAGACGCCACCACGGGGGAAGCTGGCGATGCATCCATGAGACTCTATCCTGTTTTTGCAACATCTCATGAGTCTATAATTAATTAAAAATTAAAAGTTAAAAAAAAAGGTAGCCCCGCCCCCAGTAAAGAATTTCATGGAAAAGGGTAATTAAGAAAAACGTGTCTACAAAGGCTCCTTGGGGGTGATAATGGGGAAAAAAAAAAAAGAGAGAGAGAGAGAACAGTGCCGGAGGGAGCTGGGGAAAGGGACACAGGAAGGCTCCGGGCCACCTCGGCAATTCTTCTGTGATCTAAAATGATTTCTAAACAAAAAGTTCACTTAAAGAAGAGACATTTCTCCAAATGGCCGATAAGCACATGAAAGGGTGCTAGACTTCACGAGTCGTTAGGAAATGCAAATCAAACCCACAGTGGGACAGCAGCTTACCCCAGCCAGGATGGCTAAAACCAAAAAGACAGACAATAACAAGTGCTGACAAGGACGCGGAGAAACCAGAGCCCCGTGCACGGCCGGCGGGAATGGAAAACGGTGCAGCCACTGTGGAGAACAATCGAGAGGTCTCTCAAAAGGTTAAACATCGTTTCCATCTGACCCGGCAACGCCACTCCGAGGTGTCCACTCGGAAGAAATGAGAATACACGTCCACTCAAAACCTGTTCACAAACATTCACGGCAGCATTATCACAATCGCCAAAAGGTGCAAACAACCCCAGTGCCCATCAGCGTCCAACAATGTGTCCATCCGCACAGTGGAATATGACTCAGCCATGAAAAGGAACGAAGCGCTGACACACGCTACGACGTGGATGGACCTTGAAGACGTCATGCTAAGTGCAGGAAGGCGGACACAAAAGGCCACATATTGTAGGACTCCATTTATACGATGTCCCGCAAAAAGATACATTCAAGTCCTAACCTCCAGACCCTGTGAATGGGACGTTATTTGGAAACAGAGTCTTTGCAGATGGAATTAGTTAAGATGAGGTGATACCGGAGTAGAGTGGACCCTAATGCAATATGACTGGTGTCCTTTAAAGAAAGGGACACAGACACACAGGGAGAAGGCCACACGACAGTGGAGGCAGAGATCGTGGTGATGCAGCTACAAGTCAAGGGGCACCACGGGTTGACAGTCACCACCAGAAGCTGGGAGAGGCAGGAAGTGTCCTCCCTGAAGCCTTCGCTGGGGAACTCGGCCCTGCCACACCTTGATCTCGGATTTCGGGCCTCCAGAACTGGGAGAGAATAAAATTCTGTTGTTCTAAGCCCCTTAGTCTGTGGTGGCCCGTTACGGCGGCCCCAGGACACTTGTACGAACACTGAAGGCACAGAGAGGCCACGCTCCTTGCCCACCCCGTAGCCTGGGTGCCAAAGGGATTCTCTGCAAGTGCCCGGGGGGTTGACAACCCTGCCCCCACACTGCCTGGGGTTCCCTCTCTGCTCTTAGGACTTTAAATTGCAGTTCATGGCTATGGGTCCGAGCCCCAGTCTAGCCTCCTCCTGGCTCTTCCAGAGCCATGCTCTCCCACCCATCCTCCTCCCTCAGCGGTGGATGTCAGCCACCCCTTTAGGCCCCCTCACCCACCCAGGCCTGCGGCACCTGCCTCAGGATCCTCCCTCTCAATGCTCAAACCACCAAAATTCACCCTTTTGTCACAAGAAAGGCCCGATGCGGACTTCCTCGCACGGAAAATGAAATCAACTCCAGGGAAGTGGGGAGGCCAGTGTGCTTGGTGCTGGGACACTGGGAGAACGGCCAGCTGCTCCCTCATTCCTTGGCAGGTGTGCCTGGGCGTGAATGCAGGGGACCCGTATAGCTCCTGGCTAGAATCACATTGCTAAAGTGTAAGCCAGGGTCTCCCCATCGCACTCTGGACCCTGGGCCGGGTTGTCTCTGGGGGCCGTCCTGGGGGTTGTGGGGGGATGAGCAGCATCCCTGGGCCCACCCACTGATACCAGGAGCACCCCCATTGTGACGGCCACAGATGTCCCCGACACCGCCCAGTGTCGCCTGGGGCAGGGAAGCAGAATCGCCCAGGTGAGACCCCCTGGCCAGTCCAAGAAGGAGCCCGAGTGGGTCTCCATTCAGAAGTCCAGGCGTTCCAGCCCCTCTGCCTTTACCAGCAAACGGCTTTGCCCCATTCTCCTTTCAGATGCCTGGGAGCTCTATTCCGCACAGAACAGGTTTGCTCCAGCGGGTCTCTCATCCAGGGGCTTTCCCACAGGGTAAAGGTCACACTTTGTCATTCTGGGTGCTGGGCGGCCGTGGCAAGCTGCTCGGCCTCTCTGACTCTCCTGTTGCATCCAGAGTGACAGGTGGCGCAAACCCGCAGGGGAACGCCCAAGGCCACCCCCCACCCCGACCCCCGCCCGGGCCTCCGCCCCCCGCCCCCTGTCCACCTAACGTCCCCGCCGGGGCCAGGCTCGGGGGGGCGCCGCGGCCCGGACCAGGGGGTCCCCAGCGCTCCGGCCCCAGGTGTGGAGGCAGGTGGCACTCAGGGCGCAGCGCTGGGGCGCCACCGGGTCCTGCCGGGGTCCGCCGCTGCAGAGGTGCTCCGTGCACCCCGTTATGGGGACCCCCCCACCTCCGGCTCGGCCCCACCGCGGCCGGAGCAGACGCCCCCCGCCCGAGCCCCGCATTAACTCACGCCGCCGCCGCCGCCCCGGACGCGCGCCCAGGACGGCTCGGCATTGCGCCTGCGCACCCCGAGGCCGCGAACTACAAGTCCCAGAAGGCGCCGGGAGCGGGACTGAGTTCCTGATTCAAGGGGGAGGGGGAGGGGAGGGGGATGCGAGTTGAGCCACAGCGCCCTCTCCGGGCGGGCGGTGTCTCTGCAGGACTTTAATGTGTCCTGCGGCTGCGCACATCCTCCGACCCCAAGAGCGCGCACGCGCTCCCGAGGCAGTTCTGGCACATGCGCGGCCTAAGGAAGAAAATCTATTCAGTACGGTGTCTGAGAGAGAAATATTTGCCATTAAAATAATTATTATTGCCATTTGTTAACAAATTATATAAATATATAATCCATTATATCTTAGTAAAATTGTTTTAATAATATTTATTATTAATATGTTGACATTAATATTCCATTAAAATAAAACTACTACAATTAATATATTGATATGGTATAAATAACATATTCTTACTATACTATAATATATAATATGATAATTAAATATAATTATCTTTGTAATGCCATCACATTGGGCATTAGAATTTCAACATACAAATTGGGGGGGACACAAAACATTCAGCCCACAGCAGATTCATCCTGCATATCCATAAGAGAACAGAGCCTTTATCGGAGAACAACTCTACACTATTTAAACTCACCACAAGGTCTAATTAAATTAATCTAATGTCTCATCTTTCTACTTAAGTAATTGTCTTTAGTCCTTGTCTCCTTTACTCATTGATGGAGAGCAAACCTGCGATTCCAAATGTGGATAAATGTGAAATTACGCAGTGATTCAAAGTTAATTGAATATTTTGAACTTTTAAATCACATTTGGTGTGCACAGCTTCATTGAAGGCGATGTGGTGTCCTATTCCTCAGAAACTTTTGGGGCGCCCGGCATTTGGTCCGCTGCAGGCAGCCAGTGTTTCGTTGGTTCGAATCCTGGGCGCGGACATGGCACTGCTCATCGAGCCACGCTGAGGCAGCGTCCCACATGCCACAACTAGAAGGATTCACAACAAAGAATATACAACTATGTACGGGGGCGGGGAGGGGCTTTGGGGAGAAAAAGGAAAAAAGTAAAATCTTAAAAAAAAAAGAAATGTACTGTTTTGGTAATGACCATATCAACTGTCTTTTCGTCATCTGTCTTTCATTCAGCGGATAAATGGCGTTCTGCGTAGCTTTTATCAAATCGGAGACCCTGATTTTTTCTAACTCTCTCTGGATGCATCATTCTGGGGCAATTCCTTTAGGTGATGGATAAAACATTCAAGATCGTTTGTTTGATTGCAGTTTGCAACAAGGAACAGGATGCCCAGCTCAAACTACCTTCATAAGGAGGAAATTCTTTATCGCTTAACAAAAAACGGAGAGAAGTCGTGCTCCCAGGGTCATTTGTTTCAAGCATTCATCAACACCATCCATGCGACAAGTTCATCCAGTCTGTCTTCCATCTCGGTGACTTGGTGAGGTCACGCGGGGGGAGCCCACTAAAAATGGGTCATATTACAGGGGACCTCTCCAACACTTTGGGCTGGAGACACAGGTGTTATCATCAGATCCACGTTATAACAGGGGAAGGGGGCACAGAGAGGCCTCACCGGGAGCGACTAGCAGATTTCTGTGTGTCCTAGCGCGGCCCAGCATCAGCACAGACAGCCTTCACGCCCAAGGTTTCCTTTGCCATCTTCTGGTCCAGTAACGCGCTGTCCCATACAGTGGGCGCTATTGCATCTTGAAAGGTAGCTATTCCACGCTGAGATATGCTGTGAGTGTTATAAAATGGATACCAGATTCCCAAGACTTTGTTCGAAAAATAAGACTATAAAATATCTCATGAATAGCTTTTTCTATCAATGACATATTGAAATAATATTTTGGATACATTGGGTTAAATAAAATATATTATTAACATTAACTTCACCTGTTTCCTTTTACATGGCTACTGGAAGATTTAAAACAACACACGGCCTATATTCTATTTTTTCTGGACTGGTGTAGGAGAGCAAGACACCTGTCATCCATCTTAGAATGGCTTCCATCCGGGGACCTTCTCTTAGCGTGAGCCTTGAATGGCTACATGTGGTAAGGTTTTGCCACCCGCTGGACACACCCAGTACTGCTGTCTGCCTCCTCTATTCACTGATTCTGCAAGTCTTGATTGGATCCCTCCTAGGGGCTGCCAATAGGCTCGGTGGGAGAGTGAGCTCTGAATATGCATGTCCAAAGGAAGAGCCAGTGCAAAGGCCCTGGGGTATTTCCAAAACCCTTTCCTCTTCCTTTTCTTGCTGAGGCCTGGGGAAGCGGGACAGAGAGCTTCTGTAACTGCATTGGACAGTGGAGGAAACTGAGGCCCAGAAAGATGGCGGCCAAGACTACTCAGCCCTCCTTCTCTCCCCTTCTTCAGCTCGAGCTAACTGTGCTTCCCGTGGCGAACAGACTTCCCTCCTCATGTCTTGCTGAAACTGCCCCACAGTGGCCACTGGGGACATCCCTGTCGCTGAATCATTCTCACGCACAGACCCCGCCACTGAGGGGCTGACATTGCCCAGTTCCGGCCAACGCTGAGTCAGCAGATGCCTCATGGGTGGTGCTTCTGGGAAAGCGATGGTTTTCCTGATTTTTCTTTTTTTTTAAAAAAAGGAGAGACAAATCTGGCACGTGCATGTTGCCTGTGTCCTTCCATCCTCCTCCTCCCTGGAATGCGGCTGCAATACCGGAATGCAACCATGAGGACAAACGCCACCAAGAGCTGGGGCGTTGGCACCACCAGCCCATCTTGAGATCTCTTGCTATTTGACGGGAAAAATGCTCTCAATTCTTTTGGGTATATATTCAGAAGTGGAATTGCTAGGTCTTATGGTAATTCTATGTTTAACTTTTGGGCGAACCTATAAATGAGTCTTTTCGCCTGATCTTGAACTTCGTAGAAATGTAAGCCTATGGTACCTACTCTTTTTGGTCCGGCTTCTTTCGCCTAATGTCGTCTGTGAGATTCATCCGTGTTGACAGCCCAGCGGAGATGAGTTCCATTACTGCTGTGTAGACTTCCGTTGTATAAACAGAACAGTATCTTTGGTAGATGTGGCCAGAGTTTTGTAAATTGGTGGCACTGATTTACATTCCTGCCAGGAGTGTATAATTATTCCCTTAGCACATAGTCTTGTCTAGTTTTAGACATCCCGGTGGATGTGTAGGAGTATTCCATTGTGGGGTTTTTTGGGGTTTTTTTGTTTTTGTTTTTGAGGAAGATTGGCCCTGAGCTAACATCCTCCACCAATTCTCCTCTTTTTTGCTGAGGAAGATTGGCCCTGAGTTAACATCCATGCCCATCTTCCTCTATTTTATATGTGGGATGCCTGCCACGGCATGGCTTGACAAGCAGTGCATGGGTCCACGCCCTGGATCCGAACTAGCGAACCCCAGGCCGCCAAAGTGGAACACGTGAACTTAACTGCCGTGCTACTGGGCCGGCCCCTCCGCTGTGGTTTTAATTTTCATTTCTCTAACGACAGCTGATGTTGAATACCACTTCATATGGCTGTTGGCAGTGTGGACTGGTTCTTTGGTGAAGCATCTTTTGCCCGTTAAAAAAGGTCTTTTTCTTATTGGCGTGTCTGGCGTTTTTCTAAGCGTCAAGGCGGCGAGTCCTTTGCTGGTGAATATTTCAAAAATCTTCTCCACCCTCTGGCTTGCGTTTTCTCTCCTAATATTTGGGTGAAAGCAGGTTCTTAATTTTTACAAGTGCAGTCTGGCCATCTTCTTTCAATGTTGACTGCTCCTTGTTCCTCACTTAAAGGAAGAAAACGTTGCCAACTTCCAGGGTCTTGAGGACATTCCTCTTCATGTTTCTAAAAGCTTTAGGGTTTTGCTTTTCACATTTGTGATTTGTGGCCCATTTAAATTAATTTTTGTGGATGGCGTGAGGTAGGGATCAGAGATCGCTATTCTCCATTGACAGGTCCATTTGCTGAAGAGGTCGTCCTTCCCCACCAATCTGTGCTGATGCCTCTGGTGCAGATCAGGGGGTCTTTCACGTGGGGCCTGTTTCTGGGCGCCTCTTTGTTTTCCTCCATCGGTAAACCCATCCATCCTTGTGCCAGAACCAAACTTTCTTAATTACTGTAGCTTTACGAAATTCTTGATGTCTAACAGTGTACGTACTCCAAATTCATGTTCTTCTTCAAGATTGCCTTGGCTCTCCTAGGTTCTTTGCATTTTAATACAAATTTTAGAATCACCTAGTCGGTTCCTACAAAAAAAAAAAAAAAAGTCCGCAGGGATTTTAATTGGCATTGTGCTAAATCTGTAGATCCACTTGGGTGGGAACAGGACCTATGAACCTTCCACCTCCGTGGACATGTTACATCTCTCATTTCCCTCCACAATATTTTGAGTTCCGGTGTAGAGCAGTTGTACATCCTACGTCCAACTTATTGCTGGGTGCCTGATGCTATTATAAATGGTGTCTTTTAAACACGTAAATACTTCCTTTTCCAAGTACTGACCGCTAGTATATCGAAATGGGTAAGAGGGGCCGGCCCCGTGGCCGAGTGGTTAAGTTGGCGCGCTCCGCTTCAGCGGCCCAGGGTTTCTCCGGTTTGGATCCTGGGCACGGACATGGCACCAGTCGTCAGGCCATGCTGAGGTGGCGTCCCACATGCTACAACTAGAGGGACCCACAGCTAAAAATATACAACTATATACCGGGGGGACTTTGGGGAGAAGAATAAAGAAAAAAGAAGAAGATTGGCAACAGTTATTAGCTCAGGTGCCAAACTTAAAAAAAAAAAGAAATGGGTAAGAGATGCCAAGGCTTCGCCAAAGGCATGCGGATGGCAAACAGGCACAGGAAAAGAGGCTCAACATCCTTAGGGAAAAGCAAAGTCAACCCACAAGGAGATGTCACGTCGCACCTCTTAGAAAAGCTAGAATCCACTTCTAGGTGTTTCCCCCAGAAAGATGAAACCAGGAACCAGCCTAGAGCCGATCAATCAATACAGAGGCCGTCCTGGGTGGTTTCATTTATATAAAACTTTAGAAAGTTCACAGCATCGATAGTGACGGAAGCAGATGAACGGATGTGCGGGGAGTGGTGGGAGGGACTGCAGAGGCCCCGGGGGACTTCGGGGTGGTGAGCACGTCGTGGGCAAGTCCTGCCTCTCTCCCTCCCCTGCCCCGTCTCCTGTGGCTACAGGGACGTGAGGACCGCTACGGTCCCCCCAGGCAAGAACCTTGGGTCTGGACCTCCACTCAGGACCAGCACAGGGTCGCAGGTGACAAATGGCCACTCAGAGTGGCTCAAGCAGAAAAGGGCATGCAATGGCTCCTAAGTGCAAAGTCTGCGGGGCTGGGACCGGGTGCACAGACGGTGTCCCGGGGAGGCGGCCCTTGGAGCTCTGGTGTCCTCGGGGCTGCCTCTTCGAGAGGCTGCATTTGCCCAACTGCTTATATTCTCCAAGTTTCAAGTCTGCACGGTTTCAGCAAGACACAGGCCTGTCAGCACCAGCCCCAGTTGGGCTCTTTGTCCATCCGTGAGCTGGCCTCTGGCCGGGGAGATGGCCCACACTGCCTGCCTTAACCAGGGGCCCACGACCTTTGAGACGGAGCTGACCCCAGCCTCATGGGCCGCAGGGGGCTGCACGGAGCGCCCACAGGAGCTTGGTGGGGTGTGAACATGGGAGCATGGCACTGGCCTGTGGCACTGTGCCCGGAGCCACGGTGAGCTGGGTGACCCTCCTGGCCCAGGCCGTGCTGGAAGCTCTCCCCACGGCCCCACCACCCGACAGTCCAACCCTGGGACTTGAACCCAGTCCCCCGCCGGCCCCCGGGCCGTCCAGCAACGTCTGCATTGAACTCAAGTTTAGGAGACGACGTTGCTTATTCCCGGGCCAAGAGAGAGGCGTCCTCGCCAGTGAGGCCCCACGCGGACCACCTCTTGCCAGGTTGCTGCTGGATGAGGACACCGGGAAGGAGTGGACACTGGCCTTGATCCGAAGATGCCCAGCCTGTGACAAGCCCGTGGGGAGGCAGCCAAACCCAAGCCCTCTGTGAGGAGTCCTACGATGTCCCCTGGCACCACGGGCCCCTTCGGGGGTGGCGAGTGGGGCTGCTGGAGGCCACCAGCTAGAAAGGCCCCACGGCTCTTCCCGGAGTCTCGTGTGTGACGGGGCTCCTCGAGATTCTGGCTGAAGTCTCCAGACGGCAAGAGCAGCCGTGAAGCCTGGGGTGCGGGCAGGGATGGGAAGCCGCGGGCCGACTCCTCAGGCCCGACCCAGCCGGAGGCGGCCCGCCAGGGTGCACAGGGGCCCCCTTTAGTGTCCAGGTCTCATCAAAATCCAACAAGCAAGTCTGTGCAGAAATGTTACAAGGATGGCAGAACACACAGGCTCCATTCTTGTTTTTATTTCCCTTTTTCCCTCGTAGGGGCGAGGCAGGGGTTGGCGCGGATCCTGACTCCAGGCTGTCCTTGGAGTCCTGTGGGAACCCCGGGAGGGGACGGGGCGGAGGAGCAGACACTGCGCGGCACCGGGGCCTCCTGGAGCGCCCGCAGGTTCCCAGCCCCAGGCCCCCAGCCCCTGGCGACAGGTGCCAGCTGTGCTGCTGCTCCAGGGGTCAGAGCCGTCACTTCAGCCTCAGGGACCAACCACCTACAGGTCCCAGAGCGGCTGGGAGAAACACGGACACTTCCGGTGAGGCCTCCCTCAAGCGCACCGCGGCTGTCCTGGATGCACCCACCAGCCACGCTCTCTGCTGGCGTCCTGACCTGCCCGCGTGGGGACCCTGCGGCCCACGAGCCTGAGGTCTCTGGCTCCACCTCCCACTGCCCCCAATTGTCTAGCACACAACTGGGGGTGCTGACCCCACGGCTGGACTTTGCATGGGGACCAGAGGGAGGCCATGCGGGCGCTCAGTGCAGGAGAAGGCGAGGAGAGCCCCCAGCCCCCTGACACGGCACCTCCATCCATTAGGAGGTGCCCAGATGGCTGCCTGGGTGTGGTCTCTGCTGTATATTTTTTCCCCTCTTTTGAGACCCAGGTAATTCAAGCATAAGCCACAGCTGCCTCGAATCCCGCTATCAACTTCCGCCTCTTGGCACAGCCCTCCCGGCCACAGGGCGCCCACCAGCTCTGGACAAGTGACCGGCCGACAACACTCACCCCCCTGCCCCAGTTTAAAAGGTACAGAAGTGGGTGCAGGAAGCTGAGCAAGCCCCCATGAGGCTCCACAGCTGGACTGGCCCAGGGCTGGTGAGGATGGATGGTCAGGGGCAGACAGATTGTCCCCAGGGAGGTGCGGCCAGTCACCTGAGCCTGGGGGAGATGGGTCAGGGCGCTGTCTGGTCCCTCACTCCACTGACCCTTTGCAGGGACGAAGGACGCGAGGGGAGGACGCAGGGGCAGGAGGCAGGCTCCGGAGGAGCTCAAAGGCCAGGGAAGAAGACACGGGGCGGTCTGGACCAAACGAGCCAGGGGGACAGCCACCCGCCTGCTCAAGTGAAGGACCAAAAAATACCACCAAGGTCTTTCTGCAGACTCGCCAGAGGCCCTGGGAGGCCGCCCTCCCGCAGCCCAGACTTTGCCACGCTGCCAACAGCCTCACGGCCAGAGGGAGCCGAGCCCTGAGCGGGAGGACAGGCCACGTCTGCCTCTGGTCTTCAGGGTCACGTGGACAAGAAAGGTCACGGCCAGGCTCCAACAGCTGTGTTCATTAATCAGAAACCAGCCCCTGTCAAAGCCCTCCCAGAGCCTCCGGCCCGGAGCCAGGAGGCGGCCTGCCCGGTGACTCACATCCGGGCCGAGGGCAGGCGGCTGTCGCGTCCTGGTCGCTGGTGTGCAGGCTTCTCGGAGGAGCTGGGCCTGCCCCACATGGGTCAGCGCGGCACTGGGGGCAGGCGGGGGATGTCCCCAGACACGTGCTAGGTGGGAGGCTGGCAGGAAACAGACCCCTCTGGGTGAGCGATCCCAGCACCCCAGCCCCACAGCCCACGGCCCCTGGCTGCAGTCGCTCCGACAGCTCAGCTGTCTCCCAGCGACCCAAGTGTGTCACAGTCCAGAATGTTCCAGCGCACAGAGAGCAGCCTTCAACTGCCCAGCGTTCCCAGCAGGAGGGCTGACTGCCAAGTTTAGGGCTTAACAGAAACCAAACAACTGGATCGCAAGTGTGACAACCAATGTCCGCTATTCTGTGCAGGAGAATGGGTGTGAGACACAGGCCAGGAGCCCATC